TTTATTAACAATAAAATGTTCAACATTTCGATACAATCGAAAAAAAAAGATAACAATATTTTTTTTCTTATCTACGAAGTTTGATCCATTTTAGATTCAACTTGTTGATTTTCACGTTGAAGAGATTTTAATGTTTCTAGAGAAAAGAAATAAACATGTTGGAGATATCAGTTACTTTATATGAAAACAACTTACCATGACAATTTTTAAGTGCAGTATCTTTATCACCTTTGAAAAAAACTAGACTACCAGGTTGTTGTATATAAACTTTCTAAGAAATTTCATGAAATAGGATAATCAGTATGATAACTAAAAAGAATAACACTTACACGTCCTGGTTTTAATGTTTCAAGTTCATGTCGTAAAACATTCGTAGCTTTAATCTAAATATTTAAAAACCTTAGATCATCTATACGATTTGTTGGTTTCGAAATTGATGAAGCATTTACTTACTTTTGTCTGAATAGTTGAATTTACTGAAGACATTATACAAAACAACAAAGTTATTTTTCTAGAAAAACATAATTTTTATTATCACTCATGCGGTTGTTATGTTCAGTTGATCATCATATATGGCTTTTCATAACAAAAAATACATGGCACAAGATAACATGAAAATACATACAATAGAAAAAATAAATCGTTCAAACAGTATCAACAAAAAATAAGTCTATGAGATATATTAATACAAGAAACAATAAGTTTTAATGTTTTAATTGAATTATTAACTTTTTATTTGACTTTAGGTTTTTTAGCTGAACCACCAGCAGCTTTGCCTTTAGCTTTAGCATCTGTTGTTGCACCCGCTTTACGTTTTAAGCCTTTATTAGGAGTAACTGCAGTTTCCTATAGGATAATAAAAACAAAGTAAAATATAATGTCTATTTAATAAAATAATTCTATACAGTTTTTTTCGCAGCTGGTGTTGTTGTTGTAACAGTACGAGAAATCGAAAAGAATGTATCAAGTCGTCCTTGTTGAGTAATTGAACGAGCTTTCATTAATTTTTTTGAACCATTACGAATACGATCTTCACTAGAAAAAAAAATGCATTGAAATTAATTTATATTCACGCAAGCCATCTATAAGATAGATGGCTTTTAGCAACGACACCTTTCTTGCCTTAGGTTTCTTTTAATTTCATGTGTATATAGAGAAAGAGAGAGAACAAGAAGAATTTCTTTTTCTTCCTTATATTTATTCCGTCAAGTTGTTCTAAGTAGTATGTAGAGAACGACGAGAAAGAACATTCTGACGTTAAGCATTTGTTCTTTTCTACTCGTCATCTGACTGTTATTTGCTAAAAATCTACAATCATTTTTTGTGTTCTGATGAATCATATGATTTTCTCTATTTTTTTTTCATAGACAAAAAATAAATATATAAACGACGAAATAATTATTTTTACTTCATTTGTTTTATCTTTTACAATCATATACAAAATGACATCTCCATATTATGTTAAAGTATATTATACAAAACAACAACAACAACAACCAGAAATACGTCGATTTGCGGTATATAAATTTTAAATAAATAATTTTAAATAAAATTTGATTATTTTAGATTGATATATCACCGGAAAATGATAATATTTATCAAGAATTATGTACAAAAATAGCTACATATCAACCTGATATTCAATTAAATGGTTTTACTCTTCAATATATTGATGAAGAAAATGAACGTATTACATTTAGTTCAAGTGAAGAATTACGTTCAGCAATATTGTCAAATAAAGATCCTAATGCTCTTAAAATTTTTATTACTACCAATCAATCAGAACAACCAATCAATAGAGAACAACATGCTGGTGTTGAATGTGATGGTTGTAAAGGTTCCATTGTTGGTTTTCGTTATAAATGTGTTATATGTCCAAATTATGATCTATGTGACAAATGTTCATCAGCTGGTATTCATTCCGAACATAATATGATTAAAATTTCTAAACCAGGAAATTCTTATCATCCCTATGGTTCACGTAATCATCATCGGCGTCATCATCGTTTTACACCTCCAACTATTCCAACACCATTTTTACCTAATCCAGAATTTCTCGAACAAATTCAAGCACAAATTCCTCAATGGTTACCAAATCGAGAAAATACGACTCATATTCAATCTCATATACAACATCATTTCGATAATATTAAAACTAATACGCAAGCACATATGCAAAATTCTAAACAATATCTTGAAAATGTGGGTGAATATTTAAGACAAACATTATCACCATTTGGTATTGATTGTGATTATCGTGTTGATGAACCAACATCAACAAATGAAAATGCAAGTTCATCTGAACCGAGTACTGTACCAAAAGATTCAACTACAAATAGTAACAATGAACCACAACAACAACAACAACAGAGTGGAATTTCATCATTGTTAAATATGTTTCGTACAAGTGGATCAAATGAAACACAAAACTCGCCTGAAAGAACAGTAGAAGAATGTATTGAAAAATTGAAAGCCATGGGATTTGATGAAACAGATGAACGTCTTATGGAACTTATACGTTCAAAACAAGGTGATTTAAATTCGATTCTTGATGAAATTAATACACGTGAAAAGCAAGATTAATTCAATCAAAAAAACATCAATTGCTTATTTTTTTCTTTAACATTATAGTTTGTAAATTATTTATATTATTTATCTTTTCCTATTGATAAATATAAATCAAGCTCATATAATAAAAATAAGAGAATAATCTCGTAAATCATTTTTATCAATGGTGTGGGTATATATTCTCTATTAGATATCGTTATTGAGTTAGACAAAATATATAACTTACGAGAATCCTTTTTCAGTAACCATATATTGTACAAGAGCTGGTTCATCAGGTTCAGTCCATTTAAGCTAAATATAAATATTTAAGATTCGAAGAAATAAAATATAATACGAACATCAGTTGCATCAGCTGGTAAAACATCAGGTTCTTTGAATAAATGTCTTGCTTGTTCATAAGCCCATTCATCAGGTACACCATATTTCTATGAAACCATATATAATAAAAAACCATTTAATAATTTGTACTTCAATTACTTTTCTATCAATATTTTTAAGAATAGTTTCAATATTACGATATTGTTTGATTAAATCAAGTGCACGTTTTTGTCCAATACCTTTTATCGAATCACAATAATCACAACCAAGTAAAATACATAAATCTGTAAACTTTATAAAAAAACAAATTCAATAATATAGAAATGATTAAAAAATAAATATTTATACTTCTTCAAAATTAATTCCTAAACCGAGAAGTGCTTTTGATAATGAATATTCACGAATAGGCATTTTTCTAAAAAATTTAAATAAATAAAAATAATTTATTTCCTATTTTCTAACTAACCGTGCTTCACTAAAAGTTAAATGACGTACAAGTACATCAGCACCAAATGTCAAAGCCTATATAGATATATATAATTTAGACATGACTCAAACTCAAATTCAAACTGTTTGGAAGTTTGGGTTTGAGTTTGGTGCCGAAACTGTTTGGAGGTTTAGGTACTAAACCAAAACCCAAACTCAACACCCAAACTCAAACAGTTTGGGTTTGGGTTTGGGTCATGTCTAATATAATTAAATAAATAATAAAAGTAGTTTATTTACATCCATATCTTCAGTACCAACTCCATAAACTTTTCCTTGTTTAACCAGTGCTGCACATTCTAAAAAGAAGAAAATTCAATAGAATATTTATTAAATGGGTATAAATTAAATGG